AGTAGCGGCATGTACCAGAGTTGCCGGTGCATATGATATGTTTTTGCACAACTTTAATGCAAGCAGATCGTTAACAGTACGAATGGTCGTTGCTTAAAAGTCTAAAATTTATACTTTTGTTAGCAATGTTTTTGGTCATATGCTGCATATGGTATGAGAAAGGGAGCGGCTAACGTTTGGGGTAGTAGTGCTGTATTGTGGGGACATGTGATATCGCATCCTCCAGTGCGCATAATTGTAAAAAGCACTTGCCGACAATTTTGCGCTATCGGATTTTTCGGTGTATGCGTACAAGATGAAGGCATTTATGAAAAGTGATATTATCTTAGTGTTGCACAAGAAACATTGTCGTAAAATGCTTTCTTGCCTGTCTGTTACCAAGAGAGAAGGATGATGAAAGCATTGCAATTTGAACATTTGATGCGTTAGTACGTGAAACATTCCAGTGCGCAAAAGCTCGTTTTAAGCATGCAGTCAGAGTTTTCATAAAATTGCGGTTCCCCACTCAATAAGTTTACGGAATTAAATCGGTGTCAAAACTGACCTAAATTTAAACTTCACCTGCGCTTAACGCGAGATTTAAACGAGCCGCAGTACTGAGTTTAAAAAATTTAAGTAGCGTTCGGCTAGCGAATATCCTCATAAAATTTCTGCTCCGTGGTTCCGACAGTACTGTTTCTTCGTCGGAAATATGCTTTCGTCCCCTTACGCGTGATATAGGCGTACGCTAAAACTAATTTCACATTTACTTTTATGGGTCCGTACATGGGCAACAAATGTTCTTCTAAAATCCAAGATCGGCACAAATTAGTACCTGCATTGGCGCTTTGTCAGTGACGTCTTGATTTCAAGTTTGACATGTTCGTGCACGTGATGTACGCTTGTATTAAAGCTGAATTTGAAATCTTTAGCTCATAAATGGGCAGAGAATATACACACAGTTTTAAGTCTGCTTATCTAAATTGTCCTACTTGCAGAATATCCACTTGTAGTCTTTTAGCTTCCTACATGGTCTGGTTCCCGAAATTATTTCCCTGCCAAAAAAAAATCAAAATTACACGTCTTTCAGGCGTTCGTACATGAACAATGATTTTAACCGAGGTGGCAACGCACTACGCTTGCATGCGTTTCTGCACTAAACTTGAAGCAATCA